CTATCTGCACGCTGATCTAGATAAAGAAATTTATGTGAAAGCACCCCCAGGAAAGGATACAAAAAAGGGAGAAATTTGGCTATTAAACAAGAGCCTTTATGGACTAAAACAGTCCGGTAAGCGGTGGTATGAGTGCTTATCAAAGATACTTAAAAATATGGGTTTTGTAGCTACTTCATCTGATTTTTGTTTTTTCACAAAAAAAAATAATGATTCTATTGAATATGTTTTGATTTATGTTGATGATATATTGTATTTTGGACACGACAAAATTAAATGTGATAATTTCGCTGAACAACTAGGCAAAAATTTCAACTTAAAAATATTAGGAAAGGTAAATAAGTATCTAGGAGTCCAAATTGACAAAACAGATAAGGGGTTCAAATTATCTCAGAAAGACAAGATTATGGAACTCATACAAAAATGTAATTTAATTAATTCAAAAATTTGTGATACTCCTATGTCAACTGATTTTTATAGGAATGTGTATAATGAGTACGAACCATTCAAGGATAACACGTTATATCGATCAATTATTGGGTCCTTATTATACATATCTAATTGGACCAGGCCTGATATCACCCTTGCTGTAAATTTGTTGTCAAGACATGTAAGCAATCCTAACTCATACCACTGGGAAGGAATTAAGAGGATTCTAAAATATCTAAAGTCTAGCATTGATATGTGCTTATTCTTAGAACCATTCATTTCTGAAAAACCAACTTTGACCTGCTACGCTGATGCTGATTGGGCTACTGATTCAAAAACCAGAAAAAGTACTTCTGGATATGTTTTTCTTATAAATGGCTGTGCGGTGCACTGGTACACAGGCAAACAGAATTTAATTGCCACTTCCACAGCGGAAGCCGAATATGTTTGTTTATCCAAAGCGGTCAACAATCTAACTTGGTTCGATGACTTGTTAACCAATGTGTGGGATGAACCTGTTTATCCAATTATTATCAATGAGGACAATAAGGCAGCAATTGATATATCAGCTTCCGAAGCAATAGGTCAACGATCTCGACATATCGATATAAAATATAAACATGTAAGACAACTGTCAAGTATAGGATTTATTAAAGCTATCCATTGCAATACTAGTGAACAAATTGCTGATATCCTCACTAAGCCATTGCCAACCAAACAACATATGTATTTGACTTCCAAACTTGATGTGCATATATAATCTTAATAACCCACCATTAGTTAGGTATTTTAGAGGGGGATTTGTTACAGATGAAAATACCTAACCTGATATCTGTAAATATGTGTGCTTGTTTATATGTCATTGTGTGATGTCATTGTGTCACTTACCATTGGTTAGTACTTACCATTAGCCCCGCCTTCTCTGTATATAAGTTCTTGCTCCTCCCAGATTAGTGCCTGTCTAATTGTGTTCCTGAGGAAGAAAAGAAATAAATATTACTATTACAAGAAAGCCTACAGTCTCTTATATATGGGCCTAACCAGGATAACCAAACTAGCAACAAGTTGTTCCTAGTTCCTACTTGGGAAGGCTGGGAACATAGCATAGGCTTGCTTGTTCTTCCACTCTAATTTCTGTAGTTTGCACAGATCACAGAGTGTATTGCTCTGAATTTTGAAATCACTTCTCACTTCAGAATACAGTATTGATCTGGTGGTGGTTTGGATGTAAATATGGATGGTGCAAATAAGCAGGGAAGGAGTGACCACTCAACTCCAACATGCATTTATGATGCTCCAGATTCACCTGGAAAATTCATGTGTGAAGCAAATAATTTCATCTGCATATGTTCCCAAAAAGACACATATTAAAAATGTACTTTGTCAGGGATGAGGGATTTGCCTAGAAGGGGAACTGAAACCATTGTCCAGGAAACATAAAAACTACAATATATCCCTGAATAGTACTCTTACTAGATGATACTAGAAGTCTATAGTGTTGTTATCAGCAAGATGCCTGTTTTGTGCATGGCCATACCTCAAAGGCAGGAGTGTCAAACTCACATTGTGACGTATTGGGACTTTTTTCCCCTTTCCTAAAGTGGGCCTGGGCATCGTGTGACGTATCTGGACCGTGGACCAGGAGTTTGACAGCCCTGCTCTAAGGCAACTCCTGTACATTATTGCTCATGATATTTTCTCAGAATCGAAGATACGTTTATGACTTCAAAAAAGTTGCCCACCAATGTCTTTGATCATAACAGCCATATACCTCTAGATTGGATTAATGCGCTATCAACTATTTTGCTTTGAATTAGGTTAAAAAACACTTTGCTAAAGTGTCATTTAAATATCATCTTTAACCCAAGCCCATAATTTGAGGAATTGTAGACAAATATTCTGAGCTGAGGCTCAATATATGTAGAAAGATGCAATTCAAGAATAAGGTATTTATAGTAGCATTTTTGTGCATATTTGGCACTGTAGTAGCATCCTAGTTGAATTTATTAATAATTAAAGTTGCTAATCAACCAGGAGCAAATTGTACCCTTTTAAACAAATGGTAAATTTATGAATTAAAACTGTGTATGTTATATAACTGGGTCACTTATATATAAGAATATACAAGTGCCATTTTAGAAGTAGTTATTCTTCATCTCAAAAAGTTTAATTTTTGTCAGATTGACAAAAAGATCCTTTTTTGTGTTTCAGAAACTATTTTGCAGGGCTAAAATGTTAGCCATTTAATTGGAATGCATGCCTTAAGATATATTCCAGATAGATAGATAGATAGATAGATAGATAGATAGATAGATAGATAGATAGATAGATATACTATAGATATAGATATAGATATAGATACATAGATATATGTATATTAAATAATTATATGTTTGTATGTGTGTGTGTGTATATATATTTATACACACACACACACACACACACACACACACACACACACATATATATATATATAGAATCCCATCTGCCATCATCAGGCTTATGCCAGTAGTCATTTTGCACTAACTGACGTTGGAATTTCAAATCTGGTGCTGGTATTCTGGGATGGCTCCACCTTTTCATTCTGATTGGTTGGGAGTCCCAGTATGTGTTTATTGGCTTGGCTTCGGGTGTATGGTCGGTTTTTCTCCACTAGGTGGCAGGGCTTTATCTTTGTGGCTGGTTTGAATATGATTTGGTTGGGATTTTTTTGTGCAATGTTTGGTCCATGTTCCACATATGGTGTCAAGATTCGTCTATCTATGAGAGCAGGTTTCCAAATAGTAGGCAGACGTGAAGTGTCATCCCGTTTATTCATGCAATATGGTCTTTTTTTTTCCATTTCTATTGCTTCTCTGATTATCCTGCCATTGAGATGTTCTATTTTTGCAACTGTTTTTGTTTTATTAAAATTAATGTTGTGTCCTGTTGTATTTATATGTTGAACTAATGATGATGTGTGTTCTTGCTTTTGTATTGAGTTTTTGTGTTCCTCGATGCGCACACTCATTCTTCTGTTGGTCTGTCCAATGTATGTTGATGGGCAGGAAGCACATGGGATTTCATATATGCCTTGATCTTCTAATTCTATTTTGTCTTTGGGGTTTCTCAGAATGGACGATATCTTTCTATCTGTGCAAAATATGGTTTTGATGTTGTGTTTTTGTAGTACTTTGCTAATTTTATCTGTTGTTCCCCTTATATAGGGCAAGATGGCTTTCCCATTGTTTTGTTCCTCTTGTTGTTTTTTATTCTGTCTTGGTGTTGTATGTTTGATCATATTGATGACTTTATTTCTACAGAACCCATTTGATGTCAGTACATTAGTTAGTGTATATAATTCAGTTTGTAAATGTGCTTCATCAGCCAGACGTTTAGTTCTTGTGGTTAATGTTTTGGCAACAGAGTTTATTTGTGCTGGATGGTGGTGTGATTTGGCGTTGAGATAGCGGTTCGTATGTGTCTTCTTTTGATAGATGGTATGTCCTAAGGTGCCATCAGATTTTTTATAAATTAATACATCGAGGAAAGGTAACTGGTTTTCTGATTCTATCTCCATGGTGAACTTTATTTTGGGATGGAGGCTGTTCAAATGTACTAAGAAGTTTTCCAATTTATCTCTTCCATGTGGCCAGATCACAAAGGTGTCATCAACGTATCTGAGCCATAATTTTGGTTTGTTAACAGTTTTTTCTAAGGCATTGGATTCGAATTCTTCCATGAAAAGATTAGCGATGACTGGTGATAATGGTGATCCCATTGGTGCACCTTCTACTTGTTTATATCTCTGTCCTCTGTGTATGAAATATGTGTTGGATAAACAATGTTCTGTTAAGTTTGTGATATGTTTTGGTAGTTGATATTTGTTTTTAATTGATGACAAGGCTTCTTTGACAGGTATTTGTGTGAATAGTGATACAACATCAAAGCTTACAAGAAGGTCACTTTCTTTTATATGTTGCTTTTTTATTATTTGTATGAAATGGTATGAGTTCTGTACATATGAAGCAGCAGATTCTGTGTAAGGTTGAAGATGTTTTGCTAAATATCTGGCTAGATTTTGTAAAGGTGAGCCTATGGAACTTACTATGGGTCTGAGAGGTATTCCATCTTTGTGTATTTTTGGGAGGCCATACAGTTTTGGGCATTTTGATGATTTTTCATCAAAAAAATGAAAAATGAAAACTTACATAAACAAACATATATATATATATATATATATATATATATATATATATATATATATATATATATATATATATATATATATATATATATATATATATATATTATATATATAATAATATTTGGCTGTTTTATTAGTTGTGCCTCTTGAAAGCCAGTTTAATTAATTTGGCATCACAGTAGCTTTATGCAAGAATTTAGAGCATAAAACCTCTATGCTAATACCTTGAATGTATTAGTTCAGCTAGGTTTGGTTTCCATGAAAAGTCTGTTTGTCATAGAACAGGTACTCAAAGAACTTGTTAAGGATATTGGTGTGTTAACCAACCAGCAGAGCAAGTGCACAGAGAAACGGTACTGAGAGCAATGAATACAATACATACAAACTGGTTTAACAAAGCTTTTACTTTGTAGTGAAAAACAATTGCATAATCTTTATATCAATCCAAGTCTTTAGCCATTCAAATCAGTCCGAAGTTACAGATATCTTCTTACCATACAAACAGCAGTAGGTAATAAACAGCAATTCAATGCTGGTAACAAATCACGATGGTAGCAGATCCATCCACTTCTTCACACATGACGGTAACAGTTCCAACCAACAAGTCAAGCAATTCTGACCAACAATGATATAGCTCGGCTCTCTCCTTATATACAGTTTACACTAGTAATTATCCACTTAAGATAAGTGAAGTCAGCAGTGCAATGACTCAACAGTACAATTAGGATAATTGCAGTCAGCAGTCAGTCAGCAGTCAGTTACAATGACTCATCAGTACAATTACTCAGCATTACATCTTAAAGTTACAGAACTCATTTAAAGTGATAGAACACATATATTGCCTGGACAACTTGTTAGGCTTACACCATATCCTAACAGAACTGTTGCTGGATTGCTCCCAGGACTGAGCTGTGAATGGGATGGAAACTTTATTATTTTGGACTATTAACATACTGGTAGTATTCTAATTATCTTTGCATCTCAACCTGCTTATATAAACTTATTGTCCTTCCCACTGTAACAAAGATAGAAGCCTAAAGAAGAAGATATTGGAATAATAAAAGACTTTTTTTCAGTAAACTTCCTGGTTATCACTTCCACAGTGATAATATTATCATAACTTAACTAAGTTAATCTTTGCTTTTGAAATAGCTTTTTAGGCACTGCAATTTCACTTGTTATTATTTATTTAGAGTATGAGGACACCATGACAAAAGAGAAGTAAATATATATACACAGTCCATGTACCGTAATTATAACTAAAACTTCTATGGAGGTATGGCAGTAGCCTCATAAATGGATGTCCAATTCCAGGCGACAATCACTTCTGGTGTTGCTTCATGCAGATCTTCTAGGGAACCAAAGAATGCTCTGTGTGGGCAATCTTGCACAATATATTTAATAGTTTGCACATCAGCGCCACAATCGCAACAAGAGGAATCTTTCCATCCCCACTGATACAGGGCAAGAGGCACTTTTAAATTAATTATTAATGAATTAATTTTAATTTTAATAATTAATAAAATTAATTATCTGCCAGTTTAACATTGTAGTTCCACTACAGTTAGGATATCAAGATAAACCAGAGCTCTCTATAATGAGAGCTAGCTTAGCAAATTCTCATTTTGATGTATTTGTATCCAAAAGAGTGCAATTACTCCTATTTTTGAGTTACTTGAAATGACCCTGACTCAGTGGTTCGGACCGGTTCGGACCGGTTCACAAGAATCGGTAGTAAAACTGGCGGGAGGCCCCACTCACTGCCCCGGATGTCATCATTAGCAATCTGTGCATGCACATGCGATCCCGTTGCAAACTGGTAGTAAAGATAAGTAGAATCCACCCTTGCCCTGACTCAAGAGTCCTAGCCCAAGGCCAGGACATACTTATGGTTGAGTTTGATTTGTTAGATTAACTGTGGTCAGTCTCCAAAAAAAAAAAGAAAGAAAGAAAAGAAAAGCAAGCTTCCAGGCTCTTATGCCCATGTTGGAGGAATATGAGATGTACAATCTTGTTTCCTGGTAATAACTCCTATTTTGCCTTGATATCTGAACTAATTGTGTACCCTGAAATAGAATATATGATAAAAATATATTATGGATGCACATTTGGAACAAATATATACCGTATGCCCCTACTTACAAAAAAATGTTGTAATGTGTTCTTTTTTTTTCTCCTCAGTCCTCAGGCACCTCCTCCACCTGAACCAACTTGGGAAGAAAAGCAAACAAGTGTTGTCCATCTTGCAGGTGAAGACTTCCGAGAATTTTTGAAGAAAAAGAAGCACACTCTCGTAATGTTTTATGCTCCATGTAAGTGGATGTTGTACCATAAAATATTGAATATTCATGTATACTGAATATCAGCAGAAAGAGAAATGGCTTTCTAGTGCTTTTGAATTAGCTAAGCGCAGTTCATTTATTTTGTTCGGTCGGAACCACAGCTGGGTGGCAGAGCACATCTCTTACGTTAGAGTATCTTGGGTTACTCTTTCACTTTCTGACAATGTCAGCAGCAAAAGGAGCAGCGTCATGGCTTTGGAGAAAGGATGCTGCATTATTAGCAACAAAATTAGCACTTGAACTCAATCTTTTGTCAAAGTGAGTACTAACCAGTTAACCAAACTAATATAGATAGCTCCCTCCCCACAGAACAGTGGGTTCTGCAGGATGTCCTGAAGATGATCTCAGAGATCAAGAAGCAGTGAATTAAACAATATGGATATACTGAAACTAAAAAAAAAGAAAGAAAACAAAACACAATTAAACTCAAATGGAATGTGGGATTGCTTATCAGCACCAGCAATAATAAAAACAATAGTAGCAATAAGCCACAGTCCTCATCCTGCTTAGACTACCTCCCACAAGCAGCAACCGGATGACTGAAATGGCTCCCCAGAGTGGCTGTCTAAATGCCTGCTGTTTAATTCCAAGACCACCTCAGAACACCTCACCCAGACTAAGCTGATAGATAGCAGCAGGAATATGACTAGTAATTAATGAATGTATTTATTTTTGATATAAACTGAAGATTAAATGTATGTTCTCTACAAGAAAGGACTCATATTTCAAGAATAGGACTTCTGGGGTATTTTAGAATAGGTGTAACAATGATTTTGATAGAGAACCCCACTTAATTTCCATACTCTTGTGGTGTATAATGCTACCTCCTTGAAATAATGAATAGCTTAATCCTCACTCTAGTGAAAGGTAAATACTTATTTAACTTCTATCATTTCATTAGTTTCTAAAGGTTAGAATGGGTACTCTACAGACTCAGGTTTATGGTTTTCACTCTGATACATATATCTGAAATAAGCATATTCTGCATCTCCTTAATTATAGTTGGACTGTTTTAAGAAAAAATGTATATTAATAGTCTTGCCCTATATATAGGGATAGGTTACAATTACTACCAAAAAGGAATTATTATTAGCTGAGCACGTTACTAAATGCATGTGAGATAAAAGATTAGACTTCTGAATCACATTTAGTAACATCTATACTTTTAATTACAGCAACAAAATATTTAAACAAGTTTCTTTAATAATTTCTTACATTCAAAAGGCACTGTTTCTTCAGCTTTATTTTAGATGAGTGGGTACATGTGTGTTGTATCTTTGATATATATAATGCACTCGTATACAGTAGTTTTTTCTTAATCAAACACTGTAGGGAATCACATCTCAGCTTGCAGTGAGATAATTATAAAGAAAAGCAGAAGTGCAAATCATTGTACATTGGGAAATTTGCTCTCTTTGTATACCAATAATACGCCTTCTGTTAAAATATGATTATCTTTATTTATCAATCATGGGAGCTCTTGGAGTGTTTATTCCTACCATTTATTACTAGCTTGCTTTGTTTTAATAAAGAAAAACCACTAACATTGCCATGCTACTGTGGTTTAAATAATTTTCTTTCTCCGCTCTGAACCACGTCCCACATTAGTGAAGCTTGTTAGCTGAAACTTTCTTACTGTGTTCACCAGAGACATAGAAACATCTTATGTGATTAGGTTTGTTTGTGGATTGGAACAGTTCAGTTCAACTCAGTACTTTTTAAAGATTGCATTTGGTTAAGCAAAACATCTTTGCAGATATTATATTATCTGCTACATCTTCATAAATCACTATTGGGAAGGCAAGAAAACCTGTAGAAAACTATTTCGTAAATAGTTTTCTTTGCCTTTCATTTTTCAGATTGCAGAAGTAGTGCCTGCAAACTTCTCTTCTGAGACTTTGCAACCAAATGTTGCTTCATAGAATTCAGGATTTTAGCTGATTCAATTTCTTCTCTACCCTTGCCCCAATAGCTTGAGAATATATCCGCTCTTCTAGAGTTGATTGCTGTATTCTATTTGCTGACCAAATTCTTAGATTGCATGATGAATTTTGCTCCTGAGTTGGGAGATGGTGAGTCTATTTTGGTCTGATTTTGAGAGAGTAGGAGATCGGATAAGATACACTGATGTGGATATATTAGAATCTTGTGCTCTCTCATTGCTTTCTAGGAACATTTAAAAATAGCTCCTTGGGATGAACTACTAACCACTGTTTCAAAACTTGAAGTGAAGATGAATTTTCCAATTCCAGAGGCAATATTTACATTGTTGAAACCTATTACAATTATGAATTTCATCCTGATGTTCATTTGACATCTCTTTTACTACAATTTAAATCCATTGTTTTTTTATCATGCAATCTGGAGTAACACTAAACAAGTCTCCCCTATCTTCTATTTAATAGCCCTTTAGCTAATAGAAGGTAACTAATAATTTTCCCATGGTTTACTATATTCTAGGCGAATCATATCCATTTTTTTTTTCTTCAGGCACCCTTTAATCTCTGTTGCTGTCCTCTTGGCATGGATCAATTTGTCAATATTCTTCCTAAAATACAGTGTACAGAACTGTACAGAATATTTTTATTGGTCTAACCAAGAAGAATATAGAGGAATGATTATGTCTCTTAATCTTGACACTGTGGTTCTGTTGATTATCACTTTGAGAAAGAAGTATTTTATAAACACACAATCGGGAGGGGAGAAAGGGGATTTCAAATTGTAAAAGGAGAAATAAAGAGACAGGGAGAATTACCTATAGTACTGATAAATAAGGCAATTAGTTGGGTATGATGAGACATTCCTTCACAATAAGTAATAAGAAATCTTAGTTCTCTGTCTTGTTTTAATCCATACTAAGCAATGTTAAGTCTTCTAATGAAGTCTAATCGGCTGTTTTACCAAGAAAATTGGTCTTTATTTCATGTTGATGCCAGACAAAATCAAAAATGGATTATTACCGTATTTTCCGGCGTATAAGACGACTGGGCGTATAAGACGACCCCCGAATTTTCCTGTTAAAATATAGGGTTTGGGCTATACTCGCCGTATAAGACTACCCATCTTCCAACGCACACCAAATAAAAATTAAAAAAACATTAACTGGCTCACCCACAATGTAAAAGCAGCTGTGCTAGACCCAAAATGGCCCCTGAAACAAGCAGGAACCTCACACAGCCACAAAAAGCCCAAAAAAACCAACTTTCACACTTTACACACACAAAATTCCACATACAGCTTTGTGAGATTTTGTGTGTTTGTGTAGTTAGAGTGAAACACTACAGAAACACACTAAATCTCAGAAAGCTGCACAAATATTATTTTATTTTATTTTTATTTTTATATGAAAGCTAAATTTAAAACTTCCTAAACTTTAAATGGCTAGGTCTAAAAAAGAACAACTAAAAAAAACCCCAATTAATTATTTTTTTTTAAAGATCCCAAAGGGGAAAAAAACTTACCCAATAGAACAGGGGTCTCCAACCTTGGCAACTTTAAGACTTGTAGACTTCAACTCCCAGAATTCCTCAGCCAGCTCGATTGCAGGCAGGGAGTTGCTTGCTGATGGAATGGATTCAGGCAAGCGAAGCAAGGCAAGCAGCTAAGGCAGTGGTTCTCAACCTTCCTAATGCCGCAACCCTTTAATACAGTTCCTCATGTTGTGGTGACCCCCAACGATAAAGTTATTCCTAAAACCATCAAAAATATGTGTTTTCCGATGGTCTTAGGCCAGGGGTCCCCAACCTTTTGGACCTCAGGGACCACCAACTTCATAATTTTAAATTTCGCGGACCACTAATACGAATCCAGTGCGCCGCTTGCTGAAGCACCTGGACTCCCAGTATGGGATGGGGTCCTTCAGGCACTCTCCCTCCTCTCTGTCTCTCTCTCTCTGTCTCCCACTCTTTCTCTGTCATTCTCTCTTTCTCTCTCTCTCATTTTCGCTTTCTCTCTCTCTCTCTCCCTCTCTTTCTTTCTCTCCCACTCTTTCTCATTCTCTCTTTCTCTCTCCCCCACTCTCCCCCCACTCTCTCATTCTCTTTCTCCCCCCTCTTTCTCATTCTCTTTCTCTCTCTCTCCCACTCTTTCTCTCTCATTCTCTTTCTCCCCCCTCTTTCTCTCTCTCTTTCTCCCCCTCTTTCTCTCTCCCCCCACTCTCTCCCTCTCATTCTGATTCTCTCATTCTGATTCTCTTTCATTTTCTCTCTCTCTCTCTCATTCTCTCTCTGATTCTTTGATTCTCTTTCATTCTGTCTCTTTCTCTGTCTCTCATTCTCTCTCTCTCTCTCTCTCTCTGATTCTCTCTGTCTCTTTCTCTCATTCTCTTTCATTCTGTCTTTCTCTCTCTTTCATTCTTTGTCTCTTTCTCTGTCTCATTCTGATTCTCTCTCTCATTCTCTCTTTCATTCTTTATCTCTTTCTCTCTCTGTCTCATTCTGATTCTCTCTCTCTCATTCTCTCTTTCATTCTTTGTCTCTTTCTCTCTCTGTCTCATTCTGATTCTCTCTGTTTCTCTCTCATTCTCTCTCTCTCTCATTTCATGGGCCAGCCAGTGTCTTGGGGCTGAGAGGAAGTCGAGCATCTCCCTGAGAGACTGAGGGCCGGAAGAAGTGTGGGAGCGAAGCACTACTTGAACTTGTGCGGCATGAGCATTCGCCTTGGTATATTTGCGCCAGCCGATGGCCAAGGCAGCCCTCATCTCTCTGCTGAAAGTGCAGCATCAGGATTCTGCCTTGCTATATTTGCGGCGCAAGGCAGCCTTCATTTCCTGCTGCTTGGGACTCAGAGCGGTAAATAGTGACTGGTCCGGGGAGCAGCTGGATTTTGCTCTCCATTGCGGACACCAGATCAGCCCCCTGCAAGATCTCATTT